GTCACCCACAAGGGCTCGGAGATGATTTTGGACGCTATCAAGGCTGGAGAGTGACATCTGGATAGATCCAACCCAAATATGGCAACAGTACTTCATTTTTGGCCTGAAAGCCGAAGATATCAGGAGGAGTCAGGTACTTACTGGAAAGGCCATTTTACCTGCATCCTTAGCAATGGATATTATGTACATATTCTACTTGAGGTTGGTGCGAGTTTGACGCCCAATGATCTTTCAAGACACGGTGTCTCATCGGGGTAGGGGACATCCGTTCATCCTGATTGGTGGTAGTTCGGAGTCATATCTGTGCTGATGGAATGTAATTAGCTTGGTCTTCGAGACATTGAATGTAACTAGCCAGTTTTTATCCTACTGGGTAGTTTGTGCAAGATCGGAATAGAGATCAGTCGCCAAACCCTGAGCATCAAGGGTTTTAGTCGTGCGTCCATATATAGTCACATCATCGTCATAAATGTTTATAAAGAGAGTAATTCTGATGATTGACTCCTTTGAGACACCTGAGTTGACAGCTCCGGGGGACTAGCCATTAATTAACCTTCTGGGACATACCTGTTAGGAAAGATGTTATGATTAAGAAGACCATCCCATTGATTCCATAGCTGAAGAACTTGTGTAGTAAAGCTTTATGCTAAACTTTGTCAAAGGCCTTCGAGTTATCTAATGCCATGGTCCTCGACGCGTGTTTGTTGTCAATGGCCTCACTAATTCTGCGAGTGACGGTAGTTAGGACATCAGCAGTGGATCAGGCCGATCGAAATCAATACTGTTGTGACCTCAAAAAGCGTACTGTTGATACTGAGGATACTGATGCGTCTGTACTGGGAAGGGGGAAAATTTCAAGTTGATATTCTTAAAGACAAGTATTGGAATTTATCTGGGCCAGTGATTTTCTTAAGATCAAGTTTAGAGACTTGTGCTTTAATAATAATATCACTGAGGATTGCGCTCTCAGGGATACGTGAGAATTTGGGGAGGGGATGGTCTTTGTCGTCTAACGCTGAGTTTGAAGCAAAGATCAATGCGAAGAGGATCGCCATGTCTGTCGAGGATATGCGTTTTCTAGAACTTTCTCGCAACGATTGCAAGCTGTTCTGAATGAAATAAGGATCAAACTACATCGCTCCCTGTGATAAATATTGAAGGGAGTGGTTTCCGGTGATTTATGGCTGCAACGCATTCAGAGGCCAACCAGAACTGACTATTTTGTTTCTGCTAGAATTTCACGGGGGGGTATAAAATTCTCCATTCCAGAAAGGATCCATTCAGTGACAAGGGCAGTGTTTTGTGGGGCGATATGTTTGAAGACGTTTGAGAGGGGAGCTTCCATCATATAGGATCGAAAACTGTCTCAGCCCACCTTCGCAAAGAGTAATATCGTTCTATGGAATGGTATTTCAGGGGATGCCTTAGGTTTGTCATCAATCTGGACACTGATTAGGGAATGGTCTGTCATGCCTGTTTTAAAAGAATTTATCAGGGCAGGAGATTAGAAAGAAGTCGAGGAAGTTCATCTGATATCACATCGCCTGATGTCCGGGACACGGGTCTTCTTTGATAATCTGGGTTAGTTTATGGGCGGCGGAGAAGTCTCTGCAATATCTGCCTTCATCGAGTGGGCTAACAATTCTTCATGATGCATATTGAAATCACCGCAGATAAGAACTCTAACCGGGGTGAAATTCAATGAGGATATTATCAATCTTCTCAGGTATTCGATCTAAGATTATCGCCCCCACGTCCTGTTGGCGATAGAGAGCAAAGACGAATGTGGTATTCTGGTTTAGTGCTACACAGAAGCACATAGACGAGTGAACAGGGTCCTCATTTTATTCGTCCCTGCCACAGAGAAAATAGTCCTTGATGTAGGCTCCGATCTGTGGCCGTGACGATTTAGGTAGACGTGTTTTGCTATAAAAAGTGAATAACCCGGGTCTGTGATTTCATCTAGTGTGCTTGAGGCATTGATACAGATAGTAAGAGGAGGTCGGGTTTGAACTGAATAAGATGGAGTCTCGCTTCTGGAAATTTGGAACGTAAACTCCTCACACTGATGTAGAAGATGGTATAAGTAGAGTCTACTTTGTTTTGTTTTGTTTTTTAGGCTGGATTTGCTAGTTTTGTTCATTTTCATTTTAATTTATTTCATATGTGTATTAGTTGATGGGAGGTTAATAAGCAATAAGACTGAAACACACCCACAGGAGTTGCATATATAAATAACCTGAATAGAATCGTCCAGACATACTGCGAGGGGCCCCCACCGGAGAATACTTCACGGCACAGAAACTATTCACAAAATAGCAATACAATAGCCTCGATATTATGTACCTGCTGATAGGACATCCTCCTTTGGAGTTACTCAAATGTTCGGATTCCTATCAGGCGGATAACGCCACCCACTCCCCTAAAAATAACGTCTACATCCAGCACCCTTAATGAAGGGATAATCAAACCAGGAAAGAAAATACATGCTTGATACCCTGTGTGTACATGTCGCGTCTGCCCAAAAGTCAAAGCAACAGAATTCCTACTTGGGTCATAAACATCTTATCGAGACCTAAAGGTACCAATACAAGCTCGCTCATCTACAGAAGGACTAAAAGACCCCTTAGGATAAGGGAAGGAGCAACGAAATCGCTCGAAGATACATGTACATCTCCTACCCCCATTTGAATTTGTATAGTAGATGCATGGTTACTATAATAGCGGCATACATTCGGCAAATTATTTATTCAGCAAAAAATTGGATAAAAAGAAATTGATTATGGATCAGAGTGATAATGGATCCCTTATTAGGAATTACTACTGAGGAAGAATGTCTCATTTAGAAAGAACACGTGAAATAATTCCATATTTTTATTCCATTTTGCCAGCACAAATTTTCCAATGAAAATCATGTTTTTAACAGTTTTGTCCGACTAGAGTTTAGTATGTACTTAATAATTCAGATAAATTATAATAAACCAACTACATTTATGTTTGTTTAATTAGTTGCATTAATAAAAATTATACGATCCATGAAACAAAATAAAAACAATATTCTATACAAAAATAAAATTCAAATTTGTCCAAGTTTTTTCAACTCGCTTTCCATAGATTTTAAAATCTATTCGCTTTAACGAACTGGGTTATCAACGGCTCAATTTCAATTAGTTTGAAAGCAAATGAAACAACTCTAATGGCCGATCCACAGATTAATGATAGCAGAATCAAGGATTATAATCTTGCCGACATAAAGAATTAGATGAAAGGAATTGAATTATCTTTTTCGAAAATGTTTACAAAAACCTTTTATTTTCTTTTAAATTAGTAAAACAATAATCAACAACGTTGCCTCACAGACAATTCCTTTTGAAATGTATTCGATCGTCACTGAATGTCCTACAACTTTGATCCTGTACTGAACTTAGTAACTAGATGATTTTTCTCTTGGATATAGCACACTAGAAAGTCTTCTTTTAGTTTCATTCCAGTTTAGAAAATTCTTCGACATACTGTTATTTTTTCATTAATATCATGATAATGCTATATTCTTAGTCTGTGAATTAGTTACTACAAAAAATATAACAAAAGCAGAAATGTTATTAAAAGAAAAAAATAGCATGCCACGCCTACATTTCTTCAACTGTGATTGGTCGATTAATATATACTAAAAACAATAGGACAATTTACCGATCGCATTTCACCACACTGAATTTTTTCCCACAGTTTGCTCACAAACAAGTTTTGTTATAAAATCACCGATTGGTTCATTTTTCATCCAATCGAGTATATTTCGTATACCTTCAAAATTTATCCCGCGTTCGTGCTTGGAACCACCGATAGTAATATAAATTCGGATGCATTCCCAAATCAACCAGTAGTAGTTCCAGTACCACAGTAGTAGGGTACAGAACAGAGACAGTAGATCTCGACTACTCACACGTGTTATTCATTCTACTTACTCCGCACGCACACACACACACACACACACACACAGATACAGAACTTGAATTTGATACACCATCAGTTCTCTGTGAACAAACCAAGTTGAAACAACTCTGTTAGTTACAAACACACAACTGTACAATCTTCTGAAGATACATGCTATCTTAACACAGAACTCTGAATTTTATACTCAGAAAAACTTGCTTAAAAACATTTCCTAACAGATAAAGGGGAACTACTTTTTCTCCCTATTCACACATTATACAACTACCTTGTATTTATTGTTGATTTTAATATATATGTTTATTCGTTGAAACAAATTGGTTCTTCAATTGTTTTTCCTTATTGTTTTTCCTTAATGTTTTTAAAATATGTATGAATACTAAATGCTTATTCAACACGCAGCCACATTAATCTATTCAACCAAACACCATTTACATTGGTAACACCAACACAAACTAAGTAAGCATCCTACAAACACATGTTGAAGAAGAATAAGATCGTGAAATGTTATCGATTCACCTATTATGAGTGGAGATTAGTGAAGAAATAAAAGTTGATATGTCTCACAATGATGGTCCTTCATAACTGATAAAAATACAGATGGAAATATTAAAGTTAAAATAAGATTATTTTTTACTCATGAGAAAAGTATATTTAAAAAGACAATAATATTTATATAACAATCGTAATGTTTTCATAATATTCTTCTCTTAATGAGAATTACACTTTCAGCCTGTTCACGCTTGAATGATTTATATATAGTTGAATATTTTGATAAAAATGATTCTTCTAAAGAAATTCTCCCCCAAATTTAATTTAATGATAAACTTAGCTGCAGATATGAAATACTTGATTACGGACAATAGGAAAATCGTTGGGATAAAGCGCGCCATATTTGCTTGATTTGACGACAAGAGAAAGTGATTCTGATGAAATCAGAAAATATTCGTGAGAAGACTAAATTTTTATCTCATTTATTTTCAACGATCATTGACTGATTATCAATGAAAAAGCAATATCACAATAACCTCTAATCAATAATAATCAAAACAATGGTCCCGGGATTTCATGTTCAGACAAGAGAACAAATTGAAAAGCAACAGTTTTTATTGTTACTATCAACACTCATCCTTTGCAACTTCTCTCATTATCTTCCTCCTTCCATCTTTCTCATTTTCTCTATTCTCTCTCTCTCTCTCTCTCTCTCTCTCTCTCTCTCTCTCTCTCTCTCCATCGACCCCAAAATAAGCGTAAGATATTTTTTCTATACGTCTTGATGTTCCAATGGAAGAATAAAACAAGTTAATGTGAATTTTTGTTTATGAAGCCCTTTTTTCCAGACTGTTTTTTACCCCGCTAGAAAATGACTCTTCTGCAGGAACCCCGACTTTTTATGCTAAAATTCGCCCAGTACAAAACTCGAAAGCCACTCTAGAGGGGTTTCTCCTAAATGACGTGGTATGTGTGTGTGTGTGTGTGTGTGTGTGTGTGTGTGTGTGTGTGTATGTGTGTGAAATGAATGTAAGAACAGGTAGTACAAAGTGAAAACATCTGTCTAAATATCTGAGATGAGGTATCGTAACTATTTACAGTATTTATATTGTTTGGTTGATCGTCATCATGTTCATTGTCATATTCACAACGCTTCGGCCTGTGTACACTCCGACCTTCTTCAGGTGTTATACTTTGGTATTTCAAATCGTACCTTTTATTTCGTCCATTGAAGTAGGTTGTTCTCGTTCCACGTGCCATGCCTTTTCCGAGGATCTTAGTTTCAGTTAATTCCCTTTAGTAACTCAACTCTCCAAGTTTTTGTTCACCTCTGCTGTGGTCAGGTATTGAACTCGCAATTTTGAGTCAAGTGGATAAAAGCGTTGGTTAAAGTAATCCAGAAGAAGGCCGGAACGCACAACAACCGAAACGTCGTGAATATGACAATGAAGATGAAGACAACAGTCTGGACGATATAAATAGTGTACATAGTTACGATACCTCAGCTAAGAAATATAGACAGGTCCTGAAGAAGGCCGGGCGTATAACGGCCAAAACGTCGTGAATATGACAATGAAGATAAGGACAACTTTTACGTACACCACCGACTAAAATAGGGAAACATTAGGGATAAAGTGCACACTTATTGATAATATATTCATATCGGCCTTATTAATTTATTCAACTAATAAAACATGAATTAGAACCTGTATCAGCCTATATTTCTGAGATTAAGTATTATGCATACTATTTACATTGTCCACATCTTTGTTGAGGTTGAGGACAATCGTTCGAATAATGTAAATAGAATAAGAATCTATTAGGAAAATATTTTATGATAATAGCTCTCCTCTGGACATGATTCAAGCTAGAATTTATGCTAAATCCCCATCCCAAATGCCGTCTATATCTCAAATTAAGGCAATGTGAGATTTTACAAACTTTTAGCAGTGTTTTTTTTTTTCCAGTAATGCACGGATTATATTCTCTCCTCGACGTATGTTGAAAACAATTCTTTAAAACCAGTTCGGTAATTTAGCAATTCATGCATCATCCTGAAGCACTCAACTTCTAAAGAGAACTGCTCGAAATAAATAACCCGGCCTCGATTAGAAAAGGTCGACTGGATAATTTGCATAAATATGCTATCCTATCCGTCTTTGCAATCTCAGAATAAATTATGAAAAATCGGGAGTGTATATTGCCCAGAAGACAAGCTTCCTAATGCAAATAGAACGAATTCATTGTCAGGACGGAAGGGATTTTACACCCACACACCTGTTATCCAATCAAATATGTTCCAAACTCAATTATATTATTAAGACGCCTTATTTTTGTCTTTGGTGCTCAAACGTTTTTGATCCTATTTTTCTTTTTAGAAAGTATAAAAGAAAAAAAGAATCAATTTAATTTTTCAGAGATGTTGCCATCGACTTTCTATCTGACTCATCAAATTTTCGTATAAATACTTTTAAACAAACTTCACAAATATTCATTTCCTTTTGAAATTATATTCTCTTTAACAGTGGCAAAAATTAAATTTTTAGTCCTTAAAAATATCTAATAACACTCGTTCAACGTTTTCAATTTTTTAAAACAGCAAACTGTTTTTTTACCATAAAGGTCAAAACACGATTTAAAATTCACTCACTTGAATGACATCAAGGTCAACAAATCACTAATTTATGTGTTTTAATTAAATTGTTATAAATCTCGTATTGTTGTGAAAGAAAGTCTGGTAATTGAAACTCATCGAGCTGAATCTATACCCTACTATTTAACTCTAATAGCTAGAATTTTGATGAAAACTCTAGATTTTTAAACCCATTTCAGGGAATATGCACCGTTTTTCCTTCCAAACATGGAGAGGAAGGGAAACCAATTACCGAACTAATTACCGAACTGGTTTTAAAGAATTTTAAAGATTTCTTGTTTTGGAATTTGAACTCGATTCGTTTAATATTTCTTTTTTCCGAGTCACTATCCGTTCATTCCCATCCCCAAACGATTCATCAGGACGGAAGGGCCAAATATAATCAATATATTATTGATTTAATTCCGTGAAAAGAACAATTTCGTACAGTTACAACCATTTTTATAAATACCTACTGTATTTTCTCCTTTTTTCTTATATTTCTTTTACTGGCATAATTAATTTTAGTCCTCTAATAAGATCTTCAATTTGAATCATTTCTTTTTTTTCAGGTCGAAAAATTCTCTTGAATCTTAGGCCGACGGGGTTGTTTGTTTTAATCAATTTCCATCTCTCGACTGGTTCTCAAGTCTGGTGTGTCCTCTACTCTACTATTTTCTCATAGATTCTTTTCAGGGAATATTTTTTCGAAAGGGGAATGTAAAGAGCTCTGATGGAATTCGAACTCGATTCGTCAATTTCTTTTTCCGTTACACTATCTCATTTCTCTCATGATTTAATTCAGACAAACAAGACGTCTCTCATTCTCTCTCTCTCTCTCTTTTCTTTCTTTCTTTCTTTCTTTCTCTCTCTGTCTCACTCTCTTTTATTTCTGTCTAACCCTCTCTCTCCCTCTCTCTTTTCTCTCTCCCTCACTGTCTGTCTCTCTCTCTTTCTCTCTCTCGCACCTCTCTCTCATTCTTTCTCCCTCTCACTCTCTTTCCTTTTTTCTTTCTCTCTGTCTCTCTCTTTTTATCTCAGTCACCCTCTCTCGTTACTGCATCAAGTTATATTTCCTTTCTCTATCTGCAACCCTGACTGCAAAAGGGATATGCTTTTTGTAGATGGAATAGAAAAAATTACATTTTTCTTCTTTTCATCACTGGCTTTTTAAACAAAAGAGTCTCTTTTTGACATGAATCCATTCCCGAAGAAAGGTAAGCAATTTTACCGTAGAGATCGAATGTCGATCGAATATGGCCGAGACATGAGTTCTTTTTTTTTATAAAGTTCAATAAGAACCAATGAAATATTATTACTAGATTTAACTATCATAATAGTTTTTAAAATTTATTTCAACTCTCCGTCTTCACTTTTAACTCAAAGATTCTATTGTCATCTTACTATGTCCCACTTTTCACCTTACCATGTCCCACTTTTCACCTTACCGTGTCCCATTTTTCATCTTACTGTGTCCCACTTTTCATCTTACCGTGTCCCACTTTTCATCTTACCATGCCTCACTTTTCACCTTTCCATGTCTCACTTTTCACCTTACCGTATCCCATTTTTCATCTTACCGTGCCTCACTTTTCATCTTACTGTTTCACTTTTCATTTCACCTTTTACCTTACCATGTCTCCCATTTGTCCCACTTTTCACCTTACCGTGTCCCATTTTTACCATCGGTCAAAAACTGCTGGCAACATTTGCAAAACAAAAATTGCAATTTATTATGGAGATTAAAGTTTATTTTAGATAAAACTTTACATAAAATATTTTGCACATCTTACAATAAACCAACGATGAATATATGAAATTATATTGGAATTCACATCTTATGATTTTTAAACGTTTTACGAAAGAAGATAAATTCATATGTAAAATTAATTTTAAAAATTGTAAACAATTAAATATTGCCAAAATATATTTTAAAGTCTGCGTGAAGGATTATCTGGACAAATAAGCATGTGTTTTTTTTTTTCTTTTTTGTTGTTTTTTGTTGTTGTTTTTGTTGTTGTCTTTTGTTTGTTTTAAGCTTTTCATGGATTTCCTTTGATGATTCGTTTGTAAGTAGCTATAACTTGACAAACAAGTATGGGAACATCACTTAAGATTAACAGAGAAAAAGGAATAACAGTAACGACAATAGCCACCATCCCAATGGCTTTTGATGAGGTACGTTCATCAGGAGAACTTATTTTCGAACGTTTATAACTTGAAGTGTCTTTCTTGTTAATAACAATTTCTTTCAGGCTTTCTTTGAATTCTTCGGCACTTATATTTTTCCGAGGAAATCGACATGGACAAAAACACATATTCATTCTTGCTGTTGTTGTGGCTACAAAAGAAAAGTAACAAAGGTTTTAAATATACAAGGCAAAACGGTAAATTTAAAACTGAAATGATTTATGGTCTAACAAATCTTATAAGAAAACTTAGTTTATATTTAATTTTTTATTTTAATATTGGTATTTTCTGCGAGTGGAAATTTCTATGAAATAAGAAATTCTCTGAGATTTTAACTCATAACATTGAACCATTTTAATGCTATAGAAATACGCGAATTCTGCATATGGCAGGTGCTTTATTGTACAGAAATGGCCAAGTAATTTATTACTCTATAGTGACGCTTTGGGCTTTATACTTGTGACATTACGCCAGATTAAGCAATCTAATTAAATGCCTATATAACCTCATCTGGTAATTTCTTCCAATAATTAAAATTTAATTTAGAAGTAGTTATCACTGTTTTTTTAATTTTTAAATGATATGAAATTTTTCGATATTCACAAGAATTTCAAATTTTAAATTATTCTCGAATTATTTTTGTTTCCTTTGCTCTTTACCATTTGATTGACGATTGATATTATTCTTACGACCTTGTGTTGCCATTATATCAAGCAGACATATTTGAATGTATCAAATACAGATATAAAACCTGTAAAATTGTCTTTTAACTGGCTATTGATTCTTTCATTCCAGCAAGGGAATACCAAGTTAAACCGATTTCATCTTTTAGATTTTCGCCTGTATACTCGGCCGATATAGTCCACAGGAATTACTTCTTCTGATTGTACAACAGTGACTCGCCTGATTGCAACAGACGTTTTTTTTCTCTGCTCGTAATCAGCGCAAGTGGGTCCTTAAAAAAGCAAAGTTATTGTCTGCTGATAGAATGAAACAACATATAGCATCTCCCAAGTTCTGTTCTAGAGATTATTGGAGGATCTGAAAGAGTTTACTGAACAACAGCAAATCCTCAATCCCTCCACTATTCAATAAATTAAGAGTCCTAACATCTACAGCACATAAGGTAGATTGCTTTGCTCGGAAATTCTTTTCCAACTCAACATTTCAGTTTTGTGCCATGCGTGATACACGCTTAGGGGATCACATATCTTTCGATAAATGATTGACGAGGCAGATTATTTCCCGCAGTAGTTTGCCATTTCTTTCTGCGCTAGACCATTTGTTATCCACGTCTATAGAACCCGGTCTGTCCTGCTATTTACCCATAGCTGGGGGTGAGGAGATGAAGACGATTCATACCTTTCCCAAAGTACGAATTAGCACAAGTGAATGTAATGGATTCGACTGGAATTCGAACTCGGCTCTCCGATTCCTCAATCCGAACCGCTATCCATTAATCCACCGTGCCTCAACTCGACTCATTTGGAGTACCCACACTTGGTTTCTCCACTAGAACAAAGGTTCTACTGAGTGATATGCGCATAACCCCATCACTGGTCTCAGAATCATTACTAAATTAGACACCCATAAGGCAAGCGGGGGTGACAGGTTCGCAGGCGTTGACCTAAAGTAATGTGCTCTCGAACTGGCTCCAGTTCCCTCCAAACTCTACAATTTTTGACTCGCTGTTCTTGTTTTCCAGCGTATTGAAAGTTCTCCTCTGTAGTTTATGTTTTAAAGAACTCTGGAGAACATTAAACCCCATCTAACTATCGACCTATCAGTCTCCAGCTGATTCTTGTTATTAATTATTCATATATTCTTAGAAATAAATATTAGTTCTTTATAAAACTATGATTAATTCAAATATTATTTTATGATAGAATTAGATGTATAGCAATCATTTTAAGATTCAAAATTAACAATAGAATTGAAATGTGAAAATTGTTTTTTAATTCTGTTTTTTTTTTTCAAAGCCGACGTCATTATTGTCATTTTATTCCAGCAAAAATTATTAAAAAAAATATTTCAATGACAAAAAAAAAAACATTACTAAGGGTCCTATATCAATTGGAATTGGCAGAGTTTCATTGAGGTCACACAATGAGCATTACTGTTCTAGGTAACACAAACCATTTCTGCTCATACTATTTTTTTCACCAAACCAAAAACTAATATTCGAAAATATCGAATTCGTTGCTAAAATGAAAAAGACATTGTTTCATTTCTAAATGTTTTAGTGGAATGTAATTGCATATTAATACCATTCTGATGAATAATATTTTTAAAGAAATGACATAAAAGAAAGAATTATTTGTTACACTGATATACAGGGTTTGGTCGAGCTGTTGTTGGAATGAATGTCGCCGATGTAGAAACTGAAAAGATAAATAATCGAATACAAAATAAAAACATTATAAAATTGAATACAACTTTTTTCAGTGAATGAAAAACTAATCAAATTATCAAAAATACAATCATTCTTGAAACTTTATTGGAATAGCTTCAGATTTTACACTGCGGGAGTAATTCTTTCAGCATCCTTCAAACATAGAAATTGCAGAAGAATTTTCCTCATTTCTGAATGGATTCTTTCTTATATGAGTTCCTGTTTTCATACCACCCAAAGACTAAATAGCAAACCTCAATTCGGGTCTGAAAGAGATGCCACAAAAGCTCAAGATAAGCACGACTAGAATCTCTAACGCAAAGCATAAGGTGTAGTAGAACTCTTGCCATATTCAGAAGAGTCCAAGAGAGTTTCAAAGATTTAAGGAACAACTAAGCAGTCCAAACCAAAGTTGGAGACATATGACATGGTTTCTACGAGTTCCAGAAAGTCATCAACGTGATTCTTAATAGAGGCAAATTGTTATTGTCTGCTATTATAAATGGCCCTGAGTTTACCTAAGGTGTTTGTCGGATAAGGCTAATTACTTTTCAATGAACTATGCTTCTAACTCCACATTAGAGGACAACGCCCAAACTCTACAAGAGTTTCAACCTCTCAAACATACAAGGTACATACTTCTGGATTTTCTGAAAGGGTTCGGGAAGTTTCCAGACTCTTCAAAATATTTGAATCTATGAAGTCTAGTGATCCGATAAAATTTCATTGATCATTCTTAACAACCATAACTCGGAATTATCTTAATAGAGGCAGTTTGTTATTGTGTCTGCTATTATAAATGGCCCTGAGTTAATTTATAATCTGTCAGATCAATCAGGCTTGATGTTTTATTCAGGATGAGTTCAACTCCCATTTAGACTACAACAAAAACTGGGTTCTTTCATAAAAATCCAACAACCCCTCAAACATAGAAAATGAACCCAATGAAAAAACGAAACTGATTCTCATTTATGACCACTATATTGAACAATTTCTTGCCAAACCTTTCATCATGTTTAACCGCTCGCAAAAGACAAAGGGCAGAGCAATTATTGTCTGCGCCTTCTTGTTCTCTTTTTGTTTTCCGTTCAGACAGAGAAGTGAAACAACTGAACGGATGTTTCAATCACTAGAATTTATTGAAAGGACATTTAATTCAACTGTTCAATCTATCCTAGACAGGTTCTTCATATCAGAGTTCTATTCTTCACGTTTTCAAATCTCATCATCCCTTTTTCTCCTCGTATTCCATTGGTAAAGAGGAAGTTTCATTCAGACAGAAAATCACTATTTCTGAGCGGATGTTTCCTGATCAGTATAATCTTAATCTCGTATTGGGTGATAATTTTAGTCAAAGATTAAATTCATTACAAAACTGAAAAGATATTTTTCCCTTACATCTTTTAAATGCTTTAGTGGAAAGAAATTAAATATATTATCAATATAATATTTTTATATAATATAATATTTTAATATTTTAAAGAAATGACATAATAAAGAATTGTTATTTACATTTATGTTCCGAGTTTGATGAGATTTGGGATGTCACCGCATTAGAATAATTAGGCGCTGTTGAAATTGAAAAGAAAAATCATTTTAAAACAAAATAAAAATATTATAACCTTTCATAGAACATTTATTACAGAAAATTCTAATGACTGAGTTTGGTGTTGAAACTTTAGATAAAACTTAAAAATTCTAATCCTGTCTGGCACAACATATTTTGATGTTGATATCTCAGAAGTCTTCACTTTAAATGCGTCTTTGAATGACTAGATAAACTTCTATATTCCCTGTAGATTCATTAGAAAACACAATGGTGACATGATAGTTGAACTTTTCATGTCAACCATTGTGTTTTTTATTTTTGCTTTTTACAGATAAAGTCAGGCAAAACCTAACCAAAGAAAATAGCATCGCCTTTTAAACTTGTTGAACGTTTACGGAAAACAAATAATGGATGTGCCACAAAATAAATATGTATTCTGACATCGATGTGAAATAAAACATTTTTACAAACCCAGCAATCAATTCCTGTTAATGACTGACATTAAAAGTAATGATGAAAATAACAAAGCTTTTATATATATATATATATATATATAATATATATATATATATATATATACAGAAAAATATCAATATAAGCACTTTAAAATTAGATAAACTACTATTTATGTTAGGTTTAACAACAGAATTTGATATAAAGATGTCCTAGGAATGACACATGGCACAATGGTTAAAGGCAATATTTTATCTTTTGACGGGACCCAAAGAGTGTGAGTTCAGATACCCGGTTCAGTGGAGAACAGAGGGAAATCATTAACAGGAGATAACTGATAACTGAGATCCATAAAACATGGAACTTGGATGAAGGAACAATTACAAATAGTTTGCTTTCACAGTTTGAAGAAATCGGTTTGTAACAAAGATGCGAAACGTTGTGATAAATATGGCGACAAGGTTCTTTTTTAAGAATAGGTCCGAATAATTGAAATAAAAAGGAATATTTCATAATTGAAAACCCCTATAAAAGTGATTTTCCAGGTGTATGGTTCGATTCCTAACGGAGAATTTTGTTTTCCTTCGTAGGACTTCTCAATTTTCAGTGAAGATTGTTATTAATTTTACTAATTAATAAACAATAAAATAAAATAATAAAAAACGGGCGTAGCAGTTCAAAAAAAGTATAGAAACTAAAAAAAATAACATTTATATTAATGAGAAATGATTTGGGATACAAATCCATGAATATTATATATATATATATATATATATATATATATATATATATATATACCAGAGTATACCAAGGATTCTAATTTCAGATTCTGACAACGTTATCATTTGTTTTACATTTAAAATTTTGTTTGTTTTTCAACATTTATTATTCTTAAATTGAATCTACAACTTTCATTTGAATAATATTTGTTTATATAATTAATGTGGTAAATATAGATTAAGGGCTTTGACAATGAAAGCTCAATATGTTGAAATATAAACTTTCTTATCTTTTATCAAATCTTATGTGTTATGATAAATTTATGAAATTATTGTTTACACTATTTCTTTTATCGAGATTTATTTTAATTTTTTTAATAAATTTTAATGTTTTAACAATTTAATAATTTTTAATGGTTTATTTATAATTAAAACGTTTTCCTTTTTTATAAAAGGTAATTTTTTACTTATCATTTATTATTAAAATAACATCAAAGATAGAAATAAACATGGTAGCAATGACGAATGAAGCGTTATTTTTTACAATATTTTATCATTACTAATAATGTTACAGATATACATTTTCCAAAAGCCTTTCATAAGGAAATATTGTCATAATTGCCTTCTATAAAGAAATATTGTCATAATTGGCTTTCATAAGGAGAGATTGTCATAATTTCTAATCGGTAAATATCATTAAAATATTTATAGTTTTAAAAAGAAGAAAATGGATTCATACTTCTATTGTGATCGCCAACCAAAAGATTCTAAAAATGAAATCTAAAAAAAAATATAATTACGTACGATATGGACTTGTTAATCCCATTTTGGTTTTGATGAACGTTCTATGAATATTATAGAACCATTGTACAAAGCGCTCTGAAAAAAAAAAAAAAAAAAAATTATATATAAATTGTTATTTCAGAAGACATATTATTAGAAGTCAATTATTTGTGTGTGATTCAATATGTAAAAATGTTTAATTTCGATAAATGTCTATAAATAAGCAATTTATTTAAAATCGAAACAAAATACAAACTCATTTAAATGAAGACATTTTGAAATTTTTTTATAAATAAAGTAGGTTTTTGCGTACCGAAATAAAAATATATATTTTTATTTTGGGAATATCTCTCCATTTTTCAATATCATTTTAACATAATAATTTCAAAAAATTAGTTTATTTTAAAATGCAAATTGCTTCCTAATTTTGGGGGAACAGTATATAATGGATTTCCAGGGGTTAATTTAGACGTGTTTTCGTTTTTAGTTGAAATAAATTTCTTTAGCTTACAATGAGTAGATAGTTTACAATAAATTATAGTTTTTTCATTGTATATTTTTAACATATGGTATATTAATACAGACACACACACAAATCGGAGAAGGGTCCTTTGTATATATATAGACAATAATGACATAGGAATAAACACTCATCATAATGATTGTCAGTTCCATTTGCTCTGAAGACTGAAACGGTGATTGAAACGCATTGGAAATCGTCATCATATGCTGTTGATTCCAATGTTTGCATATACATTTAGCTGATTGATCTGGGACCTATATGGAACACACACACACACACACACACACACACACACACATAAAACCGTATTTTACAAACAACTCTTTCCATAAACACAAACACAAATGATTTACAGGGTTTGATTACGAAACAAGAGGTGCGTCATCATATGGCGTGAGTAGAAGTATTTTTCCTAAATATATAACTTTCAGTACAATTTTATGGGTGCGTATTATAGATTCGTATTATACATGGGAAATTACAGTATGTTTAAAAGATTATATATATAAATATTTATATATAAGATTACCTGTAAAATATTTTGTTTAAAAGATTATCTGTAAAATATTTATTTTTAATAGTTGTTAGGTGTTATTTTTCTGGTGAAAATTATTTAAAAGATTAAGAAAAAAATATTTATTTAAAAGATTACCTGTAAAATATTTGTTTATAAGATTACCTGTAAAATATTTATTTAAGATTACTTGTAAAATATTCATGTTTAAAAGAATTAAGTATAAAGTCTTAACTTTTCTGGTGATTTTACAATATTCAATAAATTCTTTTCATTTTCACTGACTAAACTTCCATCAGTCCAATAAAGTTGATTATCCCTTTGGTACATTCCGAGCCAAACTCCTCCCGAAGCACAACTGAATAAAAACAAAGCAAATGAGTTTGATAAATTAAATGAAAGACAATATATACGAATTTTCAGATAATAAAGATACTGTATTACTGATAACCATTTTCAATCGACTAAAGAATAAAAAGAAAATGATTTGATATTCTTTTATGATTGTAGAAAAATAAATAAAATGAGTGAAAGGATTAGACCTGAGAAAAGTGAAGAACCTTTCATTGAATTCGATATGAAAAATAAATTAGAATCTCATGTGAAAAATAAAGAACGTTATCAAAAAGTGTTTGAAATCCTTTATTTAAGTCCATGTGAAATGTAAACAATATTGCTAACCAATCTTTATATAAGGACAAATTCTCTCTCTGATTATCGGTTTTCTTTATATAAACATCACATAAATCTATTGCAATTGTTTACATTTTAAAACGGACTTAAGACAACATCATGTTGAAACACCGGTTCCCGTACGATCAATGAAGTTAAGCAATGTCAAAAAACGACATTATTTTTGCAGCAACCTAATATATTGCAATTGTTTACATTTTAAAACGGACTTAAGACAACATCATGTTGAAACACCGGTTCCCGTACGATCAATGAAGTTAAGCAATGTCGACCCTAATCAGTATCTAGATGGGGACCGTTTTCTTAAGAATATTAGGTGCTGTGAATATTCAAAGGTGGTGTAATGGAGAAGGGATAGAAATTGTTCATCGGAGAAACAAATTCAAATTGGGTTCGTTTTCTTCACTGATGTGAAAATACCGTTGGGAAAGGCATGAATCCACATCTTTTTCTCCCAGCTATGGGTTAAATAGTCAAGCACTTGTAACACTAAATCATTATTACCATAAAAACTATTTTTTGTCTTACCCATAATAAAAGTTTTCCATAATAAAACGCAGAAAATGGACCAATCAGTCATTTTGCAAACAGTCATTTCACGTCAATCAATCAATCAATGATTTCACACGTCAATCAATCAATTCATGTGTCAATCAATCAATCATTTCACACGATAATTAATCAATTATTTCACATCAATCAACCATTTTATCCGTCGATCAATCACTGAATTATTTTATGCGTCAATCAATCAATAATTTCATAAGTCAATAAATCAATTAATCATATCACACGTCAATCAATCGATCAATCATTTCACACGACAATTAATCAATTATTTCATACGTCAATCAATCGATCAATAATTTTATACGTCAATCAATCAATTAATCATTTCACCCATCAATCAATCAATCAATAATTTCATGCGTCAATCAAGTAATCAATCATTTCATACGTCAATCAAACAATCAATCATTTCTTACGTGAATCAATCAATCATTTCACCCGTCAATTAATCAATCATTTCATACGTCAATCAATTAATCATTTCACACGTCAAACAATCAATCTTCCTACATACTTAAGTCTCTGTTTTTACTAATTGTTCAACAAATACAAAACCCATTCAAGATGTTGTGTGACACTGGGGTCGTGAAGGGTTTAATATTATGTTTAAGTATAAAAGCTGAAAGAGGGAGAAAAAGAGATTGGAGAACATTTTCCCTGCTGATAGGAAATGAGGGAGATTTTAAATTGAATGAAGTTGGGTTAACCTGGAGGATTTCCTTTTCATCGGATAACCCATTACCACTTCCCAAGGAAAATGGATAA